CTTTACAAAGCCAGAACTTGCTGGACAACTTCCACGAGGCCAGAGTTGACTTGCAGTAATAAGTACGCCATCTTCATTCGGTTCAGCCGTTGAATCGGTGTAAGACAGATGTTTTTCTTCTTCTTTATACGTTTTTCTGATGAAAAAATGAATAAAAATAAAAAAATGAATGAGCTTTTAATAAATTATATATATATAAATATATAACTTACTCTGTACGGGTGCAGGAGGTGGGGCGTTCTCTTCGTCGGTCGTGGGTTGTTCTGAAAGGATAAAAAAGCATCATCTTTTTACTTCAAAATTTAATATACGCTGCGGAGCGGTTTTGTGAAACAGCTTACCGGCTGGCTGCTCAGGAGCACGGTTTGCGGGTTCTGAGTCGCTGTCCGATTGTTCTGAAAGAATAAAAACAACGAAAAATATTAACGAGTCATCTTTGAAGTTAATAAACACTTTTTTTTATCTCTTACCATTCCTCTGCGCAGGAGAAGGGGGAGGAGGTGGTGGGGGCGGAGATATTGAGGCGGCGTAGGTTGTCGGCTGTTGTTCTGTAAGAATAAAAACAATGAAAAATATGAACGAGTCATCTTTGACATTAATAATCACTTTTTTTATCGTTACCATCCGTCTGCGCAGGAGAAGGGGGAGGAGGTGGTGGGGGCTGAGATATTGAGGCGGCGTAGGTTGTTGGCTGCTGTTCTGTAAGAATAAAAAACGATAAATATGAACGACACATCTTTGACTTATTAATCACTAATTTGTAATCACTTACCAGCTTCGAGGATCGCCTGTGGTGTGATGGTCCTGTAACGAACAGCTTTTGCGTTCGCGTGTGATCTGACGGCCTGGCTGGGCTGATTTGAATGTAAGCCAGCTCGTTCCTGGCTGGTGGATGGAGGCGTGGTTGGATAAAAGCTGTGACTTCCGGGGTAAGGCTGAACCCCCTCCTTTTCTGTGAAATGAAATATTTCTCAGTTGAAGAAAAAGAACGTTACGTATATATATATTTATAAAAACCACTCACTCAGATTGTAGACCGCACGGTTAATTTTAGACAAATCATCTTGAGGTGAAAGCGGAGGTGTTTTGCACGTTAATTCCTCAATAGGAATTTCTTCCCACTCGCCGTCCGATATGACAATAGCGTCTAAAAATAAAGATAAGATTATGTTAAACCAGAAAGAAAAAAAGATTTGCATCTTAAGTTAAAATCTTACCAGTCATCTTAGGACTCCGCTTGTTACCCCTCAAATCAGGACTCCAAAAATGCGTTCTACATTTTATACTGTCGTTTTAAAACAAATCTTGAATAGAAACGGGTGCGATTGGTCGAAAAAAAAATGTTTATAAACAATACAGAGTCATTTGCTTTGTTGTATAAGGAGACAAATGATTGAATGGGTGCTTAGAGTTGGTAACCTAAATTCTTTACTTGTCTTAGAGAGTCAGGCATTTTCTGAAAGGGGAAAGTGGTTTAAGTGTGCGTGTGTGTGCGTGCGTGCGTGCGCGTGTGTGCTTGTGTGCGTGTGTGTGTGCGTGTGTGTGTGTGTGTGTGTGTGTGTTTAACTTGTATCCATTGCTTCTTCAAAACTCCCCAGAGCAGAAATAAAAAAACCTTTACGATCCAAAAAATAATACCAGACTGGTTTTGTACCGGACATTTCTTCCTGAAATCGCTTATGAAAAATCTGTTGCGATGTCAAGCCTATCTCATCATGTCTCAATTCGAACGTTGTTTTTAGCAGAGGAAGGCGATATTCAAAACTCGTATCCATCGGTTCTTCTTCGCTCATGTTTCCTTAATAATGGATAAAATGTAGCAGCTCCTTCACTCGTGTGTGTAAATCCGTTTACGACATGCATGTGCCTTAGTTTAACTATTCTGAGAGGAATGACATTAAAGGTTTGATAAAGAAGGTTTGACCAGAGGTACGTCTGCTCCGAGACTTTACTAATCGCCCTCTCCCAAAAACAAACCTCATAAACAGCTTTTTATTTAATTCAGCTGTTATAGGTCCTACAATAAGGATCAAATCTTTTCTCTAAGGCAGGAAGCAAGGGATGGGTGTGTGTGTGTGTGTGTGTGTGTGTGTGTGTGTGTGTGTGTGTGTGTGTGTGTGTGTGTGTGTGTGTGACAGTAAGGACAGGAGGCGAGGGGGTTTATGATCCTAAATAGCTCTTTGAAACAATAGTAAGTAATTTGCTTTTGTGAGTTGTCTCCGTGCCAACTTGGTTCAGCCAGTTCCTTGTTTTCAACTTCCCGCCACTATTTCAATCCAAGCCACCTGCAAAAAGGAAGTCATTTGCTTTGTGAGCTGTCTCCGTGCCAACTTGGTTAGAATGAGCTTTAAGAAAGCTCAACCAGATCTTTGTTCACCAACTTCCTGGCACTCTTTCAAAACAAGCCCACCTGCAGAACAATAAGTAAGTCAAATGCTTTGTGGTTGAGATGGGTGATTTTGTTGTAAAGTATAAGGAGAGGTTTGGCTGAATGGCTGAATAGAGTTGGTAACCTAAATTCTTTACTTGTCTTAGAGTCAGGCATTTTCTGAAAGGGGGAAGTGGTTTAAATGTGTGTGTGTGTGTGTGTGTGTGTGTGTGTGTGTGTGTGTGTGTGTGTGTGTGTGTGTGTGTGTGTGTGTGTGTGTGTGTGTGTGTGTGTGTGTGTGTGTGTGTGTGTGTTTACAGCCTCTGATGATTCACCCTGATGTGCTGCTGGACAGAAAGAAACCTGTTTTACACAATAGTTTTAGTTCTGGTCAAAAGTGTCAGTGAGCTGCATGTAAATAACACATTTAAACACAAAGTTTAAGACTGAACATACGAAATCCAACATGAACATCTGTCAGATGGCTGAGTAAATCAAAGAGAGCATCCCATCTTGTTTGCTACTTCACAAACAGATTCTTTAACTTTGAGGAGACGTGCAACCATTTCATAAGTACTTGACCAGCGTGTGGGGCTGTCATTCACTCAGGCCGCACTCATCCACTGTCAGTGAGCCATGTCATGTTAGATATTTTGGAGATGAAAAGTCCAAGAGGTTAGACTGATATGGTGTGTCAGTAAGGGCTGGTAATTCTTGCTTCTCTGCATTTGCAGTACAATTTAGATGACAAAACTTTCTGTGTGTTGAATTTAGGTGATGAACATATCTGAGAGGCTTGTGACAGCGGCGTATCCACGCTCTCTTCTTTCACCTTTTGAGTTGAAGTTGAAGCGTCGGATGTAGTAGTAGACAACTCTTCCTCGTGGCTTGGTGCTTCATTCATCTCCTCGTGGTTCATCATTTTTTCTTAGAGGTCGGCTTTTCACCATTCGGACACGATCTGAGCTTTTAAAGAGTTATGCAAGGGGGGTAACACTATAGGATTACACTCAGAAGGGAGGGGGCTGTGGGAACCGCTGGGCTACACAAAAAGAAACTTCACGCGCCATTACACACATTAGGCTATGACGTGGGGGATCATGGACATCTGGACGTTCAACAATACCAGGGTGTCCGCGGGGTTTTAAAAAGTATTAAAAAGTGATAAATAAAAATAGTCAAATGTAAGGCCATTAAAAGTGTTACATTTGGTCACAGAGGTATTATTTTTTCCAAATTAGGTATTAATTTTTTCAGACTATCAGGTGTCGTATTCTGAACATCGACATAGAAATATATTCTGAATGAAATGTTATGAACGATTATAAAAACAAAACAAGCCGATTATTTGCTCCTCCCACTTACGCTGCCCTGAGTTGCAAATGAAGCGCTCCTCACAGTGTTGCCAACTTGGCGACTTTGACGCTATTTCCAACAGCTTCTCAGACCCCCTTCTTGACTTTTTAAATCTTAAAAGTACCTAGCGAACACCTCAGAAACATCTCTGGTAACCCTTAGCTACTTTCTGGATAACTGTCGTTGACATTTCCTGCAGGTTAGCTAAACACTCCGCCTGCGCTGCGGACCGTTCTTCAGGACATTAGGAAAGGGAATGATGTAGTGATGTGTCAGTCGCTAAAGACAGCTCTCGGAGCCGGCTTCTTGTTGGATTAACCAGAGTGAGTGACACACACACCGTACCTGCGGACTCCTGAGCGGCTAAAAACGGCTAAATGTGCGCGTGCAGCTTGCCCCTGATAGCTGTGAGACCGGGTTGGGGGGTGGGGGGTGCAGCTGTGGTTGTGACAATTATTACATTAACTGATGGACGACTTGTAAATAAATAGTTTATAAATAAGGTAGAAATGAGTTCCTCACGCTGATAACTAATAACTAATCTCTCTGAGGACACGGTGCTAGTGCACGCTCCTAGAGCACCTTGACAGGACTCAATAAATGTTATGCAAAATTTTGTGAACATCAATTTGCATGTATTTGTTATAAATGCCACTGTATAATTCTTGTTGTCAGTATTTGCAAGATATTGGTATTTGGGTCTGTACTGGTTAGACTTAAATGAGTTAAACCAAGGTCTATAGCCCTTGGATCATAAACTATGAGCTATAAGTATGTGACAGTGTGAGTGTCCTGTCACAGTGTCCCGATAGATCATGCGTCCTGGCTACTTGGCCAAGGGGATGTCTCTTTGGCTGACTGGTTAGAGAGTATGACTCTCACCTGGGAGTCTGGGGATCGAATCCTGCCTGGGCTCTCGTTTATCCCAAGCCCCCACAATGCCGCTCTAAAATTGGTCCCATCCCGGAAGTAAGAAAAATTGCAGTTCCACCCTCATCCGCTGGGGGCTGGTGCCAGAAGCGAGCAAATCCTCATTGACTCCCATGTTAAAAATGCCGATTTCACAGCAGAAATAAACATGTTTACAGCCTGGTGCCAAAACATGTTTTTTGTCTAAATTATCTAGTTTATTCTCATGACAACTCTGAGGGGGGTGAATTTTTTTCTCACTCTTCTGTTTAAGTGTATTGAAAGCCTAAAATTCTGTATAATTAATGAGCATCCGACACACGTGACCGCCGCCTCAGACCCACGTGACCACAGAGCTAGCTCCGTGGAAAGGCCTCAGTACAGCCTCGGCCCCTCCTGGAAGCTGTTTCGGGATTTTGAGTCGCTGTGCTTGTGAATTCTGTTTTGGATATTATTGGTGCAATTGTTGGACAAAATGACTTGCTGTGGTATTAATTGCACTAATAGAGCGTCCAAGGAGTCTCCACTTCATTTTTTTCGGTAAGTTAAAATCTATATTCGTATTTTATGTCACTGCCACCTTTAAACTAGCTGAGTTTACCGAAGTAGCTAGCTAACTATCAGTTTAACATGTAGCATGTACTGTTTAACCATGAAATTTAAATGTAAAATACGGTAAAATAATTAATAGGGCATATTTAGATGGGTAATATGGTAAAAGATCAAAATGGGTTGAAATATGACGGAGCGCTAAGAGGGAGACTTCTGTGTCCATTCTTCCACCCGGTAATCCCCAGCGGTCAGGCCGGGCAGCCTGGACGATCCGGCGCCTACTTGCTGCGCCTAGCTGCTGCGCGGTCTGACCGCTCGTGGAGTTTTTCATGTCTGACTTTAACCGCATCTAATACTGTATTACGGCGTGAGCGCAACAGCGACAACTTTATATCGATGTGTAAGCAGCCTGAGTGGTAGGGTGTTTTCATCTGAACCCTTAAAATCTCCAGCAGGCTTGGAGTGACACCTGTGTCCATTCTTCCATCCGGTAATCCCCAGCGGTCAGGCCAGGCAGCCTGACCGGTGCGGCGGCTAGTTTCTGCGCGGGCTGACCGCTCGTGGAGCTCTCAGAGACAGATCTGACCGGAGAAATACTGCAGCTCGGTGAGAAGTCTATAGGGCATACAGCGTTTCCCTTAAATCCCACCGCCACGCCGACAAGATCCCAAGTTTCTTTGTTTTTGTTTGCGCTGTTTACCGAAGAAGCAGCGGGAACTAATATGTTGTCGCTTGTGATCACAGCCGGCGGGTAGCAAGTATGTACAGTCTATGATTTTACCGCTCCCTCCTGCAGTCTTCCCCTATTAAAATTTAAAATGTGTAACTTCATGTATTGGGATGAATGACTGATATTCATGTTAAACTCAAACGTTAGGTATTTAGGGGGAAAAACAAAATAATAAACATTATACAGATGTCAAATAAATCAAACTGTAATTAAACTATATATTTTCAAAGTCTCGATTCTGGATAAAATCCAACAACATATGCTTTATAAATAAACACTACACATGGCTTTTACACTCACACACACACACACACACACACACACACACACACACACGTTACATTGTGATTTCTTAGTAAATATTCTATTTGGTGAGAGATAAACTTTATTGTATTTATCCTAGTGAATCTATAATTAAACGGGTAAACTAGCAGTAGTACATCCAACATCAAAGAAAGTAAAATGTTATTATCAGGAGAGGGAGAATGATTAAGTGGTTAGCAGCAGTGTGCTAGATGATGGCCCCCTCCATGAGGCCACCACAGCTCAGCAGAACATCATTGCAGCTTCTTCTGGGGAGAAAAACACTTACAGAAAAAATAAAGTTAACAGCTGAAATAGCAGGAAATAATACAGTTAAAGAGCAGATTGTAGAAGAAAGAAACCCTTAGGTTAAACTGGTCTGTCTACTGCATAATGCTGAACTCTAACATGTGTCCTCAGGGAAGGACCTGATTGGTGTCCAGAACCTGCTGAAGAAGCACCAGGCTCTGCAGGCTGAGATCACAGGTCATGAACCTCGCATCAAGGCTGTCACCCAGAAAGGAGAGACCATAATGGAGGAAGGTAGAGCAGGTCTGGTCCTGACATGTTTCTGAGGTGTCTGCAGGTTCTGGCTCACTTTGTTTGGGTCCAGGTCACTTCGCTGGTTCAGAACCCTCGGCCCGTCAGAACATTCTTATCCACCACGTTCTAACACCAGACCTGTTAACCCGACAGCAACAAGTGGCTCCAACTGACGATGAGACCGGGAAGGAGCTGGTTCTGGCTCTGTACGACTACCAGGAGAAGAGTCCTCGAGAGGTCACCATGAAGAAGGGCGACATCCTCACGCTGCTCAACAGCACCAACAAGGTTCGTGTGCCCTTCACAGCCGAGGAACGACCTCCAGCTCAGAGCGAACATCTCCACACCTGCTTTGTGTTTGTGTGACTTTAGGTTGTTTTACTTGAACTCGCGTCTTTAGCTGAATGAGGATGGAGAGACGGGTCGGACCTGGAGCAGGTCGAGGTCTTGCAGAAGAAGTTTGACGACTTCCAGAAGGTCGGACTTTTCCTCCTCTCCGTCTTCCAGCAGCAGCTGTCAGATCAGCTCAGGTGATAATCAGCAGGTGCTTTTGTCCTGCAGGACCTGAAGGCCAACGAGTCCCGCCTGAGGGACATCAACAAGGTGGCATCTGAACTGGAGTCAGAAGGTCTGATGGCTGAGGAGGCTCCTATGGTTCAGGCTCAGGTGAGCGTCACCTGTCTGCAGCAGCTGGTCCCTCTCACTTCCTGGTTTGTTAACTCTGCTCGTCTCTGTTTGTAGCAACAAGAACATCTGGGTTCTGCTCCTGGAAAGGTGCGTGTTGTCCTCCGACTCCACCAGAACCAGACGTGGTGTTTTTGTTACCACTCATTTGTTTGTTTACAGGATGAAGCCGACTCTAACCCCGGCTTTCCACAGGAGTTGTCAGCAGCATGTTACTGCAGCAGCACGTCATAGCTGCTGATAGGAACCGCTGTGGTCAACAGAACCTTTTCCACTGGAGCCGTCGGCAGCGAGAGTCGGCCGCGTCTCAGGAGCAGCAAGTTGCGGCCCTTACGCGCCGGTTCTATTTTCTACGCGCGACGCCTCTGAAACGGGTCAAGTTCGACATTTTTGGGGAAGGAAAGACAGGAAATCGGACGCGGAAATTGAGAGAAGCTACCGAGATTTTCAGAATAAAGAACGTACTGCCTTCCGGTTGCTTTACTTTTAAAAACAGTTATAAACTGTGCGGCCCCGTGAGAAGTTATCACCTAGCTAGCGGTCTCCTTTGTTTTTCAGGTCCGTATTGGCGATTATAAAATGGACAGAACATAAAACACAAACCATGTTGTAGTTTTCTCCTGCTTGTTGTTGTGTTTACTGACGAAGTCACTCGTGTGACTTCGTGCTCGGTCGGTGACAGCTGCTCCCCTGCTGCTTCGCGTCTCGTGGGAAGGGCCAAGCAGCAGCTTACGCGAGCAAGACGTGCTGCTGCAGTAACGTGCTGCTGACGGCTCCCGTGGAAACCCGGGGTAACACGGCGTCACCCTAGAAGGTGAGTTCATTCAGCTGATCAGAGGTCACCTCTGATGGCCGCAGTCACGGCCGACCGTGCTGACATCACACAGGAATTCAGGTGACCCGGCAGGCACCAGGTGCTGGTGAAAGTGGGGACATGTCAGCTGGTTGCCATGGCTACAGTTATCTTTATGCATCTGTATGACTGCTGACTGGTGTGTGTTTCCTGTGACCTTTGACCAGGCCCGGAGTGGCTAATCGGGAGGGTCTGGAGAATTCCCGGTGGGCCGCGCGATGTTTGGGCCGCATGGGCCGGTGCTCTCATTTTTGCTTTTTATCATTTTATTTTTATTTTTTGGTGCCGGTGTTCAGTCATGGCACTGAGGCCGCCGGGCTGATCACATACGCTCCTCCCGGCTGTCTCTACCTGCAGGCTGCAGCTCGTTTTTTTTTTTTTTTTTTTTCCCTGTATGCGCCTGTGCGCACCACGTGACCACGCAGTTGACAGAAAGATGGAAAGTAGAAAGAGCAAGGGTGGCGCGGAGAAGGCAAGAATTAAAAAGAGGAAAGCGCTGGAAACAGATGCAGCTAAATGTGCAAAAATGAGCTCCTTTTTTCTCAAACAAGCTCGCGGTCTTTAACTTCAAATGAAGATAAAACGGGTAAGGCAAGTCAAAATGTTAAACTTTACCGGCTGCAAATCACCATTCAAGTTAATTAAGCATCAATAATGAATTATATGGCGTCATGACATAACGTTATGTAATATAGTTAACAGTATGATGTGACTGATGCCACCAAACTGTCTTGTAGCCCACAAGATCCAGTAGGCCTAATAAGCACCAGGCAGAAACCCACCATTCCAGAGCGGGCATGTACAGGTAGGATTACTTATTGAGTCAGTGAACTGAATATTATTAAAATTTATATGATGAAAACTATCCTGGCTCTATATGAAAGTGTCCTAAAATGCTAGATGATTCAGCATTGATCAGAAAACGTGTAAAAAAGGAAAATGAATGCTGAATTGTGACCATTTTCACACAATGTAGTGTCAGAAGAAGAGCCAGGAGCCAGCAGTGAGGGTATTGCTCCTGTTGGGATAGAAGGTTAGCCAACTCATGTGCAAACATCAGTTTCATTATAATAATTTTAATGTCCAAATAATAGTAGTGACCTGATGTATTTTTATTAGTAAATGCACAAAGCCCACAACAGATCGCTATTAGAATGAAAGTAAAATTAAATAAGCCTGAATATTTTGCCATAGAAAATATTTTAATTGGTTCCAAAAATGTGTTTTCCATATCAAATGTGCTAAAGCTTTACAGATGATTATTTTAATTGTGTGCAGGTGAGTATAGGAAAACTGGAAAAAGTGTGAAAGGGAGTGCTGAGTCATTTCATTTTAAAGATTTGAAAATCTCAGAACAGCTGTTTGAACAGAATGTAGATTGTTATATTGTCAGAGAATGTGTTGTAAAGAACAATGTTGGAGATGTGCACTGATGTTCAAATTAACCTACATTGTAAAGCAACTCTTTCTTGCACTGAATTACAAGGCTTTACCAAGTAGTGTGCTTTTGTAGACTATACATATAAAGTTCTAACATGATTTTAATAATAATTCGTTAAGTGGGCCGGTCTGGGGTCTGAAACTCCAGGGCTGAAAATGTGTCCCACTCCGGCCCTGCCTTTGACCTCAGACCGTACGGTTGGGCGTTCAGACGACGGCTAACTTTAATTCCATCAAGGTAAGAGGAAGCTCTTCCCTTTCTGTCTGAGCGATCCGTCTCCAGGTTTCCTCGTCCGGCGTCCAGCCCGCTGGCGTCCACCTTCATCTCACTGGGTTTGGTTTCTCTCCAGGAGCTGAACAACTGCTGGCGCTCGCTGCAACAGCTGGCTGAAGACCGGAGCAACATGCTGGGCAGCGCCCATGAGGTGCAGCGCTTCCACAGGTACCCCGCACACTTATGCGCCGCTTACGGGTCAGTAGAGTTTGGACCCACACTCAGACGGAGTTCTGATGTCTTCTCAGAGACGCTGATGAGACCAAAGAGTGGATCGAGGAGAAGAACCAGGCCCTGAACACAGACAACTACGGCCACGACCTGGCCAGCGTTCAGGCTCTGCAGTGTGAACAGGAAGGCTTTGAGCGTGACCTGGCAGCTCTGGGTGATAAGGTCCGCTTCCTGATTGGTACCATGACCCGGGTTGTCTCTGGAGACACGTTCTTCATGGTTCTGGTGACTCCACCCCAGCCGTTCCTGATCAGCAATCAGCGGGGTGCTTTCCTATTTAAGGTGGATGGAGGACACAATTTGACGCCAGAAGATTGCCTCAGTTTTGGTAGTAACCAGCCACTCGTGTTACCTCTAGTGTTCCTAGGATTAATGTTATGTCGTAGTGTTTTTGCTCTTATATTGGATTTACCATTCTTCAGGATTCCTGTCGACCTCATTGGATACTGACCTCTACTCCAGGATTTGGATATTCAACACACGGACCTTATCACCAGCCTCCATAACCCACCTCTCATCTCACCCAGTGCCCCATCCACCAGGACGCCCCGCTTCTCTCCACCTCTGCTCCCTCTCCTGCGCTTCCTCTCTACCTCTCTCTCCTCCAGCCAACACATACACCCACCACAGTAAGTCTGCTGAACACCTCTGCCTGCCTACAATGGATTTTGAAACCAGAACCTATGCTCACCTGTGTTCTCCCTCCTCCAGACGCTGAGCTGTTGTTGCAGTTCCAACCACAGACTTATCTGTGCACCTTAAGTTCCTCCTTATAAATAAATCATTTTTTCCATCAGTTTTTGGTCAGTGTTGTATTCTGCATGTCTTGGGTTAAGTACCTTCCTCCAAACATGACACTCCTCTTCAAAGAGCAAATCTGTTCAGCACATTCTGACAGACAGACCACCATTCTTCTGTCATGATGCTGTACAGGACATTTTTAGAGTTTTTCTTTTTAAAGATAAATAGGATTATATTTAAATAGCAATACTTTCACATTATCATTTTCCCACACTTCTGTATAACTGTATTTTGTTGTTTTTCAATAAAGAATGAAAAATTATTTAAGTTTGGATTTGTTGCACACAAATATATATCTGTAAAAAATATCTACAAAGCTAATGTTTACATAACAAGTATGATTGGGTTTTGCAATACGGCACTATTTTAGTAAGCTTTTTAAACCAAGTAAAGTTAGTAAAGAACACATTTCTATTGTCTGCTAAGAAACTGTTGGGATTTAAAATGGGCCTGTTGTACAAATAACTTGTAAATGATTATTCCTCACTTTTGTCTTAACCAAAGAAATTCCAGTAATTGAGCAAAAACATTTATTTTTAACACTACAGTTTATAAAACAGGGCGCAAAGTGTCGGCACATGTATGTATGTCGATGGTCCGCCCCAACCGAACCAGGAGACACAGACGTCAGGGAGGCCAAGGTTGTCTCTGCAGCTCTCTGGGCACCACGCCTCACATAGCTGTCTCCAATGATCCAAATGGCTATGGAGAAAAAATAACAGGTTTGTCATAATTGTTTAAAGTACAAAACCATACATGAAGTGGTGAGACAGGTATGTGGAACTTACACTTGCTGCTTTGTGTAGCTGATGTTGGAGACACACAGGCTGCCATGGTGACATTTAAACAGATCTAAGAAAAAAATGAAAATTAAAAACTCCCAGACCTCATGTCATATTTACTAATCAGCTATGGCTGATTTATTGTTTGGATCACAGTGAGTTACACTAATTCTAATATATTTTTATTTCTATTATACATACATACTTTTTAACTGTTATTTTCACATGACTGTTATCAGGCTCTCTTGTTCTGGTTCTCATGATAATCCCGTGTCTTCCAGTAAGTTATCTTGTGCTTACTTCATCTGTAGAATGTCTCTTTACTTTTGGTAAATTGTACTGAGTCCAGAATAAAGACTAGTTGGCTGTACAAGATACAAACAAGTATTACATTTTGGAAATATATGAAATGTATTTACGCTGCTAATTTAGCTCGAATACTAATAACTGCCATATTTTCCGGACTATAACTCGCACTTTTTTACATATTCTGGCTGGTCCTGCTACTTATACTCCAGAGCGACTTATATAACAAAATATGTAGGCTACACCGCGCTGCTGCGGGCCGACTCCGACCCGCCCAAGAATGAGTTCCCCTGTCCCGCTGGGAGGGTTTCAAACACCGCCAGCATCTGTTAGAGCCTGTGGCGGGGTGCTGAGGGCCGGCTCCAGCCCAGGAATGAGCTCTCCTCGCCGGCCGGGAGGGTTTGAAACACTGCCATCCTCTCCTCTGCTGGCTGTTGTTCATTCTGTTATGGTTACCGGTGCTTGTGTTGCAATGTGAAACGCTTGGTCTCAGATTTTGTAAGAAAGATAATAAAATGTCCCCCCAAAATACGACTTAAATATATTTTCTCTTCTTCATGATACATTTAATGGCTGGTGCGACTCAGGAGTGATAGCGCCGAAAAAAACTGTACTGAAAACTTGCTCAAAGCAAAATGTATTCATTACGGAAATGAATTATAAACTTACCGATTTAAATCTTTTTTAATACAGGTACTTCTCACGAACAGGCGCAGAAAACCTCCACCTAAACTCCGTGTGAGGTTCAGGTCGATGGGTGTTCCAGTTAGCTCCGGTTGGGTTGAAGCTAGGTGGCTACATCCGTTAGCTCGGCTCCCACCTCCGCTTTAGCTTTGGGTTAGCCAGGGTTAGCTTCAGGTTAGCTCATAGCTAGTTCGCCTGGGTGTCGTCACTCGAGCCCAGCCTTACAGCCACACCCTCAGCGCCTCCTCTCTTCCCTTTTATGGAATTGTCTGGGCTGGACGGAACCTGTGACACGGTCAAAATGGCGGTGGTGGCCACCTCCCATTATAGACAACAAACGTGTTATTGAAGCCAATGGAATCCGTTTGTCCAGTATGTACAGTCTATGGTTTATCCACCTTGCCACAAGTATATTGGTCTTTTTATACTGGGAATCGGGAGTTATTTTAGTGATCATCTTGCTTCTTGTTTATTTTTGCCCTGATTGTGCCCTGAGCAGTTTTATGTCTGAATAAAAACAAAAACAAAAATCTACATAAATTGAAAAATCGTCGTAAAAAATCGAGATCTCAATTTCAGTCACAATAATCGTGATTATAGTTTTTGCCATAATCGAGCAGCCCTACTTTAGCATATCCGGTCACATAATGATGACGTCATATTCAGTGGTCGTTCTGCATCATTTCAGGCCTCGTGGTCAACTGTCTGGACTGCTGAACAGAAGTTCCTGGCTTATTTTCTAAGTAAAATAAATATGTGCAATACGTTGTCAACATCAGTGAGTCTCTAAGTCTATTCTTTTTGTATGTTATATATGTTAAAATATGTGTAAATAGGTCGCTGATTAACACTTGCAATTAAGTTTTGTGATGGTTTTAAAAAAATTCTGAAGGTAGTAAAAAAAAGTATTAAAAAGTAGTAAATTTTACTTAAGGATTGCTGTATATACCCTGAATACGCCATTGTTGCTGCGGCGTGGGGGGTCTAGGCCATCTGCTCGTTCAACAATACACATGTCCATTTGATTGATGATAGGAAAGGGGGGCAAGGTCAAAGGTCAAAATGAACAATAGGTCTGAAAGGTCAAAAAGGTCAAAGAACAATAGACCTGTCAAAATGTTTGACTTAAGGTGGGTTATAATACTACTATCTTCATTCCTTTTACCGTCCTTTTTCAACTGATTTTTCCTACTGGGAAGTTAGAATTTCCGAGGAGAAAGCGAACGCACCATTAGATGATAACAATGGTGGCATAGGAAGCTAACATATCAAGCTACGTCATCTTAAACAGTTTATTTAACTGCTGGAGCAGATTTAAACGATGACGCTTCACACTTAAATCGTTGTCACTGGTTTCATCTTCACCCAATCACCAGTCACATTTAGTAAAGGGAAGCCAAACATTAGTGCGCGTGTTCTTCTAGTCGGAATTTCGGAGTTCCGAGGAGAAAGCACCATTAGTGAAACAGAAGCTAACAAATCAAGCTAACGCTATCTTACATTTTATTTACCTACAGGAGCAAATTAAGATGAGGATGTCTCACAACTCGCTCGCAGTGACCGATGACATAACGCTCTTGCACATGCGCAACTGTCTAGGCAAGTTCTCGTTGTGAAGGATGGGTACCGAAACGAGGCACCGTTTCAAATGAAGTGAATCGGTGCTCGGTCGTACTGTGGAATTCGGTCAGTACCTTAAAAAGTACTGAATTCGGTACCCATCCCTAGTTGTAGCCCATCCACCCATCCATTTTCTGAACCTGCTGATCCACGCAGGGTCGCAGGGGGGCTGGTGCCTATCTCCAGCGGTCAACGGGCAATCAGGCGGGGTACACCCTGGACAGAGAGCCAGTCCATCACAGGGCAACACAGAGACACACACGACAAACAACACACACTCACACCTAGGGATTATTTAGACAGACCAATCAACCTAACAGTCATGTTTTTGGACAGTGGGAGGAAGCCGGAGTACCCGGAGAGAACCCACGCATGCACAGGGAGAACATGCAAACTCCATGCAGAAAGATCCCAGGCCGGGAAGCGAACCCAGGACCTTCTTGCTGCAAGGCAACAGCTCTAACCACTGCACAGCCTGGTTGTAGCCAATAATGGTAAATTAACAAAGTTAATCATAAAGTTTTCAAAACAATCACTGTAGTAAAGTTCTACAAAAAGATAGATACGTGAGTGTCAAAGAGCACTAAAATGTAAATCAGTGAAGTTAGTAATCAACCTACATGTGAATGTACCCATAAGGAATTACGATTAGTGAAAATAAGAAAAATTAAAGCTGCAAGCAGCGTCGCTCGGCCCTCGCAGCGAAGCTGCTCGCCCTCCGTCCGCTACCCCTTCACTCCATCTCTGACACTCTCCAAACCCATCGCCCTGCCACCGGAGGCGGACGAGCGCCAATGCGCGCCAGACACCCCGACGTGCATTTAACTGCAATCACTATGAGCAGTCACCTCAATCTGACAGCCTTGCCTCCTAGCCTGCCAGCCGTCCCCACTAAAAATGTTTTACGATAGCAAAACATTCCAGCTTTGAAAGAGAATCTGTAAAGTAATTGGAACAAAATGGCCGACTTCCTGTGGGATATGGAGCAAGGCTCAATGAGACTTCTTTGTAGGCCCAGGCACACTACATAAGTGTGTAAAATTTCACAATCCTCAGTCAAAGCATGACTTGGGGCTAAGAGTTTTAATGTTCGTAGGGGGTGCTATTTTAGAAAAAAGGCCACACCCACCAGCTTATGAAATCTATTTACACTGGGGGTCAGACTTGGATCACTCACCAGAAATCTTTTGGTGACATCATGAGAACTGATGAAATGAGAAGCCAACGTACTTCCACGGCGTGATGGCGAATTGCGCCACGCTCCCAGGGCGCTGCCTCTTTTTGAAACCTATCAGTACTAGACACCAGCTGACCCCAACTTGTGCATTGGGATTTGGCAGAGATTGCTGTTGAACAGATGAAAGGAGTCTAATAGGGAGCTCTGAAATAAAGCATAGCATGGTGCTCCCAGCAGATAGTCTATAATATACTTTTTAAATGTCGCAACTGGCATCTAATTATTTTTACTTGAGCTTTAAATAAAAATAAAACTGTAATCAATTTAGATTGATTTGTAACATTTCTGAAAAAGCGCCCAGCGTTATGCTGAGTACTCTACCCTGCCACCCTGCAAGCAGCTGTCAGCAGTTGTGATAAGCAGCAGAACATGTCACCCACACTGCTCAAGAATCCCTTATTCTTCTTTAGCTCCGAGAGGTAAGCAATGTTATATTTTAATAAACACCAAAAGAATTTTAATGTGATTAATGCAGGGGTCCTTCAGGCGTGCTTACGGCTACCCCCGCTGTTAGCATGTAGCTGGTGGAGGTGAGTACACGTGAGCAGAATTATATGTTATTAATAAATCGATTTTAAGTTGAGTTAAGTAGCTTTTGTGACTTGTTTTTGACATGTGAAGGCTTTTGGGAGTGTTTTGTGAGAAGTTTAGCTGTACCTTTAAAAAGAAAAGCAAGTTGTATGGGTGATAATGCTTCGATTAACATGTTGCTAATAGAAGCTAACTTCTTGTGAGTGAAAGTGTTAAGTAACTTTGCTGTCTTTTTAATCTGAACAGAGTGTGATGCTGGATAACACACATTAGCCACGTTTACATGCACAAAATCTCCTCTATCCGATTAAAATCTTGGCTGTTTGGAAATCCCAAATATCTGTTTACATGGACACTACTTTATGCACCAAGCATTCAGTCCGAATAAATAGGTTGAGCATGCGCAGAGTTGTCTTTCCTGGAAAAAATGGTAAACAAGCGCCATGAAACGAAATGAAAAATGTAATGTGCAGAACTTTTGATCTGTTTGGGTGTTCAATCCAATTACTTGTGCCCATGTAAACATGGCTAGTGATGGAAATTGTGTGTTCTGTTATACCAGGTAGGCTCATGTATGAATGTTATAGAAGAAAAATGTATCTGTGTTACAAGTGTTGTTAGCAACTTTTGGTTATCTACTATAATCTGTTTTTTATGTAAATTGTGGGGAAAAAAAACTTAAATAGTAATAACATCTATACAATCACGCAGAACAGTAACATGTAAATTGGTGGAGACCCCTGTGTGAGGTGGATAACACACATTGATGGAAATTGTGTGTGTTCTGTTGGACCAGATTGCTGCCAATAAAAGCATGTTGAAGAATAATCTGGTGCCATAATCTGCTTTTTGGTGAATGTGGAGCACAAGAGTGATGACACAAATTATCCAGACCACATCTACTGAACACGTCAGAAGGTGATCCGTTACATTAGCCACTCTCCCTTTATTTTGTTTGGATGCCTTGATGAGTCTTTTGAAGCTTAAAATAATATGAAGGATTCTTTATTCAAAGATGGATCAGTTAATTGTTTTATTAACAGAACAAAAATGAAAAGGGAAATAACCATTAGGTTTGAATGCACACAAATACAGATTGTGAACACTCTGAGAACAGTAGAATGATTAAATTAATTGTAGCTAAAAAAAACAACAAAACAATAGATGAACCAAAATTAAATGCATATTGAACTTGATGTCAGAACTGTAATCTTAATAACTAATGCTGTTTGAGGTGTTTGAGACAGTAAACAAGTGGATTGTGTGTGTTTTATGTATTTTCCCAAGTCAGGTGGAGAGTTAATAGTGGCCAGAGATTTACACCCGTCTCTCAGATGTACCAATGAAAGCTGTGGCTATTTCACTTTTGTCTAGCCTCTTCAGTCTATCCCTGTGGACATGGCAGACTGCAGTGCTGTTGAGCCTCAGCTGTGTCATCGCTGACCTCAGCCAGGTCTTCAACCGTCGCCGAGCGCTGAAACTCCTTTCAGCCTCACAGGATGACACTGGGACCACAATTAGCAGTCTCACCAGAGTCTCAACTTGTGAGAAGAGCCCTGTGACCTCTGGTTGCATCCCTCTAAGAATTTGGGCAGCCTCTTTGCAGGAAGTGTAGGTATGATTTGCTTTAAACATTGCCAACTGAATTTGCATTTTTTGCTGGTCCAGTTCTGGGTACAAGCTCACCATATCATTGGTCTTCCCAGTAAGTAGCAGCTCCTCCAGCTTGTTCAGATTTTCCATAATTGGCTGGTCAAAGCGATCATGTAGCTGGGTGATCACTATGTCAGTGGCATTAAAAA